GTGGGCAGGGAGGGATGAACTGCCCGGAACTAGAAGGCCTTCTCTTGGAAGAAAGAACAGTCAGGTGCAGAGTGTGTGGGGAACTCGGCCTCCAGTCTGCCACGCTGATGACTCAGAAGCTAAATATAGCGAGTGATATAAACAGAGCCAGCCACAGAGCAAACACAGGGCCCCCAAGCCCCGGCACAGGCTCTCACGAACACGGAGCTCTCGGCGACCCCTCCCCCAGCCCCACTCTTCCCCTAGCACTGTCCTGACAGACCTCCTAGCCCTGGGATAGAAGATGGTTTCTTAGGGGGCACTTTTCACTCTAGGACAAATCTCTGAGGCCCCTGCACCGGGCTGTTCTCTCTAGAGCCTGAGTGACCTCATTAGCCATGGTCTCTGCTCCAGAAAAACCACTCACCAACATGGAGAGCATCCTAAGGGTCAGAAAGCAGTCAGGGACTCCCAGAACAAAGAATCCAGGATGCTGGGCAGAGATCCAGATGCTAGGTGATGAACCATGCAAACGCCAGTCTGGGTACAACTTCCCAAAGAGCACCCCAAGAATTATAAAGCCAGGTCCAAGCAAAATCCCAAATTCCTGGTGTATGTGTGGACACACTCGGTAAGCTTCCTACCACTGATCTATTCCTTATTTCCTGTTTGAGACATGGTCTTACTAAGCTGGCCTGGTGGTCCCTAAACTTGTGATCCTCCTGCCTTGCTCCAGCCTTGCTGATAGCATGTGCTCATCTCTCCAGGCTATCATAGTTTCTTGTTTTTGTTTTTTGCAGTCCTGAGCATCAAAGCCAGGGCCTCCGGGCTGCTACACAAGCCTCTAATGCCCACCTGAGCTACAAGCCCTGGCCAATAGTGCTTTTATTACAGTTCCCAAAGGCTTTGCACAGCAACCTTGCAAGGTCAGCTTTGGAACCTGAGGTCCGGACCAGGAAAATGACTCGCGGAGAAACACAGCTTGGGTAAGTGGCAGGAAGGCGATTCTTCCCAGACCTGCTTCAAAGTCCCCCATCCTTCCTTTGATATTATAAATGAAGATGGTTTCAAACAAGGGCTTGAAAGTTTCCTTAGATTTCATTTTCTAAAATATTGAATTACAAGCCGGGTGGTGGTGGCGCACGCCTTTAATCCCAGCACTTGGGAGGCAGAGCCAGGCGGATCTCTGTGAGTTCGAGGCCAGCCTGGTCTACAGAGTGAGTTCCA